TTGATGTCACTGTTTTGTTTAAATGTTTTGCCCCTTTCGGCTTCCCACCGCTCCACGACCGCCCCAAAAGCCCCCAAGACCGCCCTCCAAGCTGCGGAAGTCTGCTTTTGGGGCCTCCCACTCAGCAAAAACCTCCCCGGCCCCCCCCACTGCGCCCCGGCACCCCGCCGCCCCAAGAGGCCCAAATCGTTGAATGCCATTGTTTTGTTTAAATGTTTTGCCCCTTTCGGCTTCCCACCGCTCCACGACCGCCCCAGAAGCCCCCAAGACCGCCCTCCAAGCTGCGAAAATATGTTTTGGGCCCCCCCCGCTCAGCAAAAACCTCCCCGGCCCCCTCCCCATCGCGCCCTGGCACCCCGCCGCCCCAAGAGGCCCAAATCGTTGAATGTCACTGTTTTGATTAAATGTTTTGCCCCTTTCGGCTTCCCACCGCTCCACGACCGCCCCAAAAGCCCCCAAGACCGCCCTCCAAGCTGCGGAAATCTGTTTTTGGGGCCCCCCACTCAGCAAAAACCTCCCCGGCCCCCCCTCCACCGCGCCCCGGCATCCCGCCGCCCCAAGAGGCCCAAATTGTTGAATTCCATTGTTTTTTCACTGTTTTGTTTTTTTCGGTTTCCCACCGCTCCACGACCGCCCCGAAAGCCCCCAAGACCGCCCTCCAAGCTGCGAAAATCTGTGTTTGGGGCCCCCCACTCCGCAAAAACCTCCCTGGCCCCCCTCCACCGCGCCCCGGCGCCCCGCCGTCCCAAGAGGCCCAACTCGTTGCGTTTTCACTGTTTGTTTCAATGTTTTTTTGATGTTCGGCTTTCCACTGCTCCACGACCGCCCCAAAAGCCCCCAACACCGCTCCACCAGCTACGGAAGTCTGCTTCTGGAGACCTCCCACTCTGCAAAAACCTCCCCGGCCCCGCCCCCCATCACGCCCCGGCACCCCGCCGCCCCAAGAGGCCCAAATCGTTGCTTTTCATTGTTTTTTCAAAAACGTTTTGCCCCTGTCGGCTTTCCACCCCTCCGCGACCGCTCCCCAAGCTGCGGAAGTATGTTTTCGGGGGCCCCCCACTCAGCAAACGCCTTCCTTTGCCCCACCCACCGCTCCCCGGCATCCCGCCGGCCCTAGAGGCCCAAATCGTTGACTTTCACACGTTTGTTTTTGCAATGTTTCGCCCCTTTCGGCTTTCCACCGCTCCACGACCCCCCCAAAAGCCCCCGAGACCGCCCCCAAAGCTGCGGAAATTTGTTTTTGGGGACACCCCCACTCAGCAAAAACCTCCCCGGCCCCCCCCACCGCGCCCCGGCATCCCGCCGCCCAAAAGAAGCCCAAATCGTTGCGCTTCATATTCCAATGTTTTTTGCCTTTCGGCTTTCCACCGCTCCACGACCGCCCGGAGGCTCCCAAGACCGCCCCCCAAGGGCCCCACTCAGCAAAAACCTCCCCGGCCCCCCCCACCGCGCCCCGGTATCCCGCCGCCCCAGGCGGCCCAAATTGTTGCGTTTCATCGTTGCAATGTTTTCCTCTTTCGGCTTTCCACCGCTCCACGACCGCCCCAAAAGCCCCCGCGCCCCAAGCTGCGGAAATCTGTTTTTGGCGACCCCCCACTCAGCAAAAACCTCCCCGGCCCCGCCCCACCGCCCCACCGCGCCCCGGCACCCCGCCGCCACAAGAAGCCCCAATCGTTGCTTTTCACTGTTGACAAAAATGTTTTACCCCTGTCGGCTTCCCACCGCTCCACGACCGCCCCTGATACTCCCAAGATCGGCCCCCAGTTACGGAAGTTTGTTGTTTGAGGCCCCCACTCTGCAAAAACCTCCCCGGCCTCCCCCACCGCGCCCCGGCGCCCAGCCGCCCCAAGAGGCCCAAATCGTTGCTTTTCATTATGTGTTTTCAATGTTTTGCCCCTTTCGGCTTTCCACCGCTCCACGACCGCCCCAGAGGCTCCCAGGACCGCCCCCCCGGCTACGGAAGTTTGTGTCTGGAGGCCCCCCACCTTGCAAAAACCTCCGCGGCCTGTTCCACCGCTGTGTTTCATTGTTCTATTTTGTATGTTTTGCCCCTTTCGGCCTTCCACCGCTTCACGACCGTCCCAGAAGCTCCCACACAAGAGGCGCAGAGGAAGACCCCAGAGGTCAGAGGCGATCGAGCCGGATGGAGCGAGGGAGGGAGGAAGTGCGGCGAGCGAAGAGGGTAGACGAGAAGGAGGAGGCCCTCTCAGGAGGCGGCGGGGCTTCTTAGGAGGCCTCCGGCCTTCCAAGAGGTGCTCTGTGTCTTCGGGGAAGGCTTGGGCACTTCTCGGAAGGCCAGGGGATGTCCGAGCCTTCTGAGGAGGCCCGCCCGTTCTCACTGGCTCGCCGCCGAGAAAGGGACGCTCTTGTCGGCGTTTTGTCGAGCGCGGCGTGCGACGAAGAGAGGTTGGAAAGGAGAGAGAAAAAAAGGCAGACCGAAGCACTCGCCACCCGCAGTGCCCACTGCACGCGCGGCTCGTGCAGTAGGGGCCCGACCACCAAAAACGTTACACAAAAAACCCAACCCTGAGGCCCCAGGACATCTATTGATTTTTGGTGTGGGAACGTCGATTTTTCCATCGCAAAACCATCGAACCCTAAGAAACCAAGGGCACCCTGGAGGCAAGCAGGGTGTTTCTTGGCATGGGCCCCAACTGTGGGCACTCCCCTGCCTCTTCCGCCCCTTCGAGCGGAGGGCGGGGAGAGGGACACGAGCTGGGGAGGCCAGAGGAGGTATGCGAGGAGAGAGAAGTTGTCGTTCCTGGTGTCGTCGGCGTTCGCGGCCGTCGCGGTTCTCGCCCCATCCTGGTGATGTGGAGCGGGGCGGGGTTGGTTCTGGGCTTCGTGGCGTGGTTGTTGGCGACGGTGCGTTGTCTTGTGAAGCTGCCCGTTCTCGTCGGTAGTCCAAATTCGGGCTCTCACTGAGGCGTCTGATGAGGTCGTACCCGGCTGCTGTTTGGAGGTCGCCCTGGCTGCTGGACCTGTGACGTCGGCGCATGCCGAAGGTCGTTGCTTGCGCTGGGTGGCCGTACTTCATCGGGCTGTCTGTTCTGAGGCCCCACTGCGTGTGTCTCGTTGGAGCGGTTGGGGTTATCATGGCCGTGGATGGTAGTATGCTGAATGCGGACGTGACAATATAAGCTATGTTTGGCGTATGGGTAGTACCGTAGCCTGTCGGTTATGGTCACGTGGGATGGGCGATGTTTCTCTTCTTCTCCACATCGTCCTCCTCCACCTCTCTTCCTCCACCTGATGCCTCTCCTTCCTTTCCCGCTGTTCCCCTTTCTATCCCTGCTCGACGGACATTCGGCTTGCCAGCTCAGCGTTGTCCGATCGCCCCCGTGGTTCCATTTGACACGACGCTGCCGACTGGCTCGTCGTGGTGTGGGCTCCAACTCCTCCTCCTCCTCCTCTTCCTCCTCCTCCGTCTTCCTCCTCCTCGTCCGTTCCTCCCTCCTCGTCTCCGTCCTCTTCATACCTGTGCTAGTCCTCGCCATCGTCGGCATCCTGATCGGTCTGTACTCCAGTTTCTGCGCATCAGCGCCAAGTGTCCGACAAGACTGGATGTCCACTATGCGTTGCAGGACGACGGTGCAACCCGGCTTGTGCAGTCCAATCAATTGGTTTTGGGCGCCACGTCTCCTCCTCCTCCTCCTCCTCCTCCTCCTCGTCATTCTCCACTTCGTCATTCTCCTTCTCGCTCATCTGCCAAACTTGGGTCAGAAACCAGCACAGACTCTGAACAGGCTCGGCGCAAGACACGAATCGACGATCATCGAACGGCGGAACAAACATTGGAGGGACTAAAAGGTAATTACCAATACCACTACTCCCCAAACTTCTGCAGAGGTGCGTTACGACCGGAGCTTCGAGGCGAAGCCAGCCGTGGCAACGAGGGAAAGGTACCGGCATCTGTATCTCTTCCCTCTGCTAAAAGAAAAACAACCCACAGGCATAAATTTGTGCCGCTCCACGCAGATTTCTTGGATCCGCGCTGGACCCCCCTTCCCTGGCGCACTCCGCGCGCGCGCCAGGCGCGGCGCCAGAGGCGCCGCCCAGGGGGCCACAACGTGGATCCAAGAAATCCGCGCGGAGCGCCAAAAGCTTATGTTTATGCCATGTTTTTCTTCTTTAGACTAGCGCGTTCCACTACTCGCAAAGTAGCTACTCGCAAATGGCCTGGATCCGCCACAAAGGATCTACGAGAAAATCCGCCAGCCGTGTCGGCGTGTGAAATGGGTTGTTCTTCTCGTCCGTGCCTCCTTCCCTTTCCCACCTTCTCCGTCTCCTTCTCGTTCGTCTCCTCCTCCTCCTCCGCCTCCTCCTCCTCCTCCATCTCTTTCTCCTGCGTGAAGTAAACTGACTCGAAGGGTTTCCCCTTCCCTTTGTTCCCTTCCCTGGCCGGAGGGGGGGGTCCCGGGGGAAGCCCGGGGGGGTCCTGGAGGGGTCCCGGGGGGGTCCTGGGGGGGGGGTGTCCCGGGTCAGAATACCACCTCCTCCTCCTCCTCCTCCTCCCTCCTCCTCCTCCTCCTCCTCCTGAGCGTCTTTTGCCACCTTCTCCATCTCATTTTCGTTTGTCTCCCCCTCCTCCTCCTCCTCCTCCTCCTCCTCCTCCTCCTCCTCCTCCTCCTCCTCCTCCTCCTCCTCCTCCTCCTCCTCCTCCTCCTCCTCCTCCTCCTCCCCCCCCCTCCTCTCCCCCCCCCCCCCTCCCCCTCCTCCTCTTCCTCCTCCTCCTCCTCACACACTTGCTCCGCCTACCCTGTCACGTTATCCTTGAGCTCCTTCCTGTGATCACATATCCCGTCGCCATCGACGACCAAAACCTTCAGGGTCAGCGGCACTGGCCGTAAGGCCTTCACAATACATCCAAGCAGACATGTGTGTTTGAAATTTGCGAGCAGGTGCTTTGTGAGTAGTGGAACGCGCTCGGCGGTTCTTCGATGTATATCTTCCCTGGGTGAAGCGTTGTCGGTGGGTCGAGCGCGCGAGCTCGCGGTGGCCTCCGTATGGCGGGGGAAAGGGCATGCCGGAGTACATCCCCATGTCGAAATTCTCCTGCCAGGATCGGGGGAGGGGCAGCCGATGCGTCGGCGGCCGCCCTCCTCCCCTCCCCCCCTCCCATGTCGTCATCCTTGTGGGGGTGGGAGAGAGGGGAACGAGAGGAAGGCGAGGACAAAACGAAGGGGAAGGAGGAGGGGCGGAAGGGGGCAAGGGCAGAAGAAAAGCGGGGAGGATGGAGGAGAGAGGGCGGGGATGGAGGCTGGAGGAGGCTCCTGTCTCGCCCTCCTTCCAGGATCCACATACCGCCGACTCTGCAGAAATAAGCCTGTAGCAAAAAGTCTGGGGGGGGAGGTGAGGGGGGACGGCCACTGAGAGGGAGTGGGAGGGGGAGAGGAGGGCAGTCGCACCCCTGGTGCCCCACCCCCGAACACTCACTTGGGCCGAAGTGGCCCTTGATTGGGCAGTCTGCATACGATGGGACGCACAGAAACATACTAATACTGTATGTCCTCCTTGGCGGCGCGCGTCCGACCCCGAACATATAGTACACCCATCTCCCGAGCGGTGTGGCCAGAAAGCGTCCGCCACGACGCATATACTATGAGAATTCTCGGTGCGCGCGTCGCCCGCAGGGAGACGACGCGCACACACAGTATTAGTATGTTAGGGTGACGCCGATACAAGTTCCCCTAGGAGGCCCGCCATGACTCCCTATCAGTGGGCTCAACATGCACACACGCATCTCCAGGATGAAGGAGAGAGATGGGGCAAGGAAGCCAAAGTAAACGACGAGGATACGAAGGGTGAATACAAGAAGCTGGTCGAAACATGCCTGAAAGGAAAGAAAACGGTAATCATGACCAAGACTGAACGCGGAACCATACATGTCGAATCGTGGTGACCGTCCATTTTGGTCAATTCGTGGATCATCCTCGCGAATCGGCGACGGCCAACATGGACCCAAACCGAAATCGGCGTCGACGAGATTCCGTGACACCTTCGTTATGGTCATCGTGCTTCTTCCCACGAGTGCCAATGGTCAAACACTGCATCGCATGACGCCCCAAGTCCTTTTGCGGTTCAGCACGTTCGGCCGCAACTCATGTGAGCCTCCCGCGCTATCTTGTCGGCTCTTCCGAATCGACGCCAAGCGACGCAAATTGACGCTGGTCGACGCTACGTCAACGCCAATCGATGCTAATCGACTCCAATCGACGCTAGCTCGGCGCTATCCCATCGATTACCTCACGCGACGCTAGTCGACTCGCCATCACTCGGACATCCATTCCCCGTGCATGTTTCTTAAGATGATCCGACATGCTCCTTGATAGCCCTCACCCGGAAACATGCACTCGTCCGAGCGATGCCAAATACACGGTCCCCATGATTTGCCACAGAAAGCACCCGCACGAACCGTGGCACTGCATGCTTTCGGAAGCAACTACTGGGAGGTCTTCGCCGGAATGATCGAAGAGAGCTGAGCCTCATTGGGGGGCTACTGCGCCAATTGGGCCGCGGATGCAGCGGGACTGAGCCGGACTACGGCAGGTTCGTGTCGTGCCGACCCCAGCGTTGGTTTTTGACACCGCAGGGATCGTTCAACCTTGAACGATTGGCCGCTGCCGCAACGTCCGATCGTTCAACATCGATCGATTCTGGGTCGCCGGCGGCGTTCAACCTTGAACGTCCGCGCTGGGGTCGCCGCTGGTCGACACGACGCAGACCTACCGTAGGCGAACTTGAGCCGGATCGAGCGGGATGAAGCCCGACTCCGGACCAGCGCAAACTCAGAATCTGACCTCGCCAGAACTGCATCCGAACGACCACGCCCCGCACGGACCGCGGCGTGCCGGCCCCGACCGCCGGGCAGCCGCGAGAGGCCGCGCGGCGCCTGCTCCTGCACCGGCGGGCCCTCCTGCGGCAGCTGCCCCGACCTCGACCGAGGCGGGCGCCGGGGCTGCTCCTGCGGAGCGGCGCCGGGTTGGACAGGAAAAGGCCACGCCTAGGCGGCGCATCGGCAGATGATGCGGCAACTCGTAGTGTACATTTTCGGTGGCGTGCAGGCGCATGCGAGCGAACAGCTGCGCGGTGCCTCGGAGAGGTCGTTGTATTCTTCGTGCCAGCGAAGTGCGCAGTGCGGCGCCGGGTTGGGTCTGGCCCAAATCCGGCAGGCGTGCCCGCGGCGCGGAGGTGGCACAGCACGGGACTCGTGGCGGCTGTCGGCCGCGATAGGGGCGCGAGCGGAGGGGGGGCGACGAGTGGGGGGGGGGGGAGGAAGGTGCCCCTCTCGGGCCCGAAAGGCCCTCTCTCTGGGCTCAGGTCGGGCCCGTCCCCCTTCAACGGGTTTTTGGGCGGAAAAATGAAGATCCTCAAAAACTACCCCCCATACGTTCCAAAATGGTTTTTGAAAACTCGTCCCCAGACTAGCTTTTGACTATATTTGAACACTCCTCCTGTAGAGGGACAGGCTCGACTAAAGTCCTGGGCCCCAAGGACGAGGACGGAAAATCCACCCCGATAAAAAGCCACCCCGACACGCGAAGCCGATCAGTAAGCGCAGCCAGAGAAGGAATCAAGCAGGGCAGGGCTGTTTGGTGCACGCCCAGGGCCGTGCAGGAAACGCCAAATGGTCGGGTCCGGGTGGCTTCCCCTCCCTTGACAAAAGGGCCCCTCTCTGCAGCCCTCGCTGCTCCCACCACAATTCAACCGCCCCCTCACTACGCGTCCTCCGGTGCGGGCCTCGGGGAACCTCGCCGGGCCCTGGGCCCGCAGCAGCAAGCAACTCGAGGTAAAAAATCGGCCCCGGGGGAAGGGGCGGGACATCCGGGAGCCCCGTCTCGAAAGAATGAGGACGTCGCGTGTCTGTGCCCTGCTCCTTCACTCCCCTCGTACTCTACCTCTCGGGGATGGACAGAGAGCCCTTTAGTAAAACGTGGCTAAATGAAAACAACCTCGGGCCCAAACCTGGCGGGCGCAAGCCTGGAACATGACGACCGCGACGCCCACTCGAGAACCGAAATCGGACAATTCACTTATCGAGGTGTCAGGGTCGGGGTTCTGTCCACCCCCGAAGCTCTCTCCTCTCGCATCGCTCATGCTCCCCTGGTATCTGCCGTCCTTTTGTCATGTACTGTTGCCGTCCGAGCACCCAAGATGGCCCAATATGGCTCCAGGGGGACCCCCGATGCTTCAAGATGCCCCCCCAAGATGGCTCAAGATAGCCAGGGATGGTTTACGATGGCCTGAGTTATAGTCCTCGTTGTCCTTCTCATCATCCTCCTTCTCCTCCTATTCGTTTTCCTCGTACTCGTCCTCGTACTCGTCTTGTCTCTGTTTTCTTCGTCGTCCGCCTCCTCCTAATTACTCATCGTCCTCGTCCTCATCCTCGTTGTTTCCCTGGTCGTCACCCTCCTCATTAGCATCGTCCTCCTCCTCGTTCTCCTCCTACTCGCTGTCCCCAAGAGTGTACCGAGAGAGCCCCGAGAAGACCTGCAGTGGTCACAAAGAAGACCCGAACGTGGCTCCAGGAATCCTCATCCTCGTCCTCCTCATCCTCTTCCCCCTCACTACCCCTCCTCTCCCCAAGATGGCTCCAGGAGGCCTCTACGAGGCTCCTGAAGCAGATCGGGCTTGCCTGAACATCGGTTATGGATGCAATGGACGCGATGCTGAATTAGATCCCCCGTCGCGGGTAATAGTAGGCTTCCCACGTATGAGAATGTGCAGCTGTTACACTATTAGATGCTTTGGCACATCTCAGACCCAAGCAACTCGTCTGACGATCGTGGGGGTTCGCGAGGCGTCAAGAATCTCATTAGCGGGACTAGCGGTTCAGAATCTGTCTCGGGTTCTTTCTTGAACACTCTGCCATACCAACCCAGATTACTGAGCGTAGGGGCATTATCTGTCTGTGATGCTTCATACATTTAACTCCTGCTTCCTGACTTCCTACTCGTAGGTGTTCACCCAATGCCCGCCCGCGGAAGCCTCGCGGGGGCCTAGTGCGCTCTCTGGCTTGTCAAGCCGCTCCCCGCCGGCTCCGCGAAGGGGAGCGGCGTAGTCAGAAAGCACTTCCCCTTCCCCCTCCCCTCTCCGTTCCCGCGCGCACGTGCTGGCAAGAGGGAGGACCATACCGTAGCTGTCTTTGCTCAGGCCAGTCTGACGAGCGGGCGTGACCGGCGAAAGCTCACCACAGAGCTTGCAAAGCAAGCATCACTCAAGGGGCCCTGGGACACACAATTAAATAGACACAAATAAAACAGATTCTCCACGTCGTCCCTCCCACTTCCCATGTTTTTCCCATATGTTCAGGGGAATCGACGATTCATTGCGTCTGTGTGCTTTGTTCCCTCCTGCATCACATACATCAAAAATATCTGAGATCGCCAGTTGTTGTACCGTGTCTTCGCCCTATAATTAGGGGAACAAAAAGTGGCATAAACATAAAAACTCGGAGGTCCGCGCGGATTTCTCGGATCGGCGCTGGGGCCACCTCCCTGGCGCGCGGAGCGCGCCAAGGGCGGCGCCAGAGGCGCCGCCGGGGGGCCCCAGCGCCGATCCGAGAAATCCGCGAGGGCCTCCGAGTTTTTAGGCTTATGCCACTTTTTGTTCCCCTAGTAACCGTCCATGGCCGCGGCGTGGGCGCCCGCTTTGCCGGCTGGCACCTCCGGCCTGTCGCCTGGTGCCCGTCCGTGGGCGCCTCGTGCACTGCCTCGCGTTGCCGGATGGCCACACAGCCTGCACCACATCTGCTCTTCTTGCTCTTCTTCTTCTTCTGCTTCTTCTTCTTCTTCGTCTTCTTCTCCTCCTTTGTCTTGGTAGTGTTGTTATTCGTATTATTCTTCTTCTCCTCCTTTGTCTTGATCTTCTTCTTCTAGAGCAGAAGTTCCCTGTGACGCAGGCCCTACAAAAACTTGGCACCGGGGGCAATCTACCAACTAGAAGAGAACCCTGCTGGACCCAAGCCCTCTTCCGTGATAAACACATACGCGTCAATGGGGCGCAGAAGGAAGAACCATGAACTGGGAAGGCGTTCACTTAAAGTCGGGTTTCCGCCCAACCCCTCAAGAGAAGGACAGCGGAAAACCATTCGACGATTGTAGTAGGAAGGCGTATATTGAAATCTGGGAGTCGAGGAGACCTTCTTTCAACGACTGATGGGAGCATGTTTGAAGTGGTTCTGCACGAGGGGGCACGGCGACCTGACGCGGTGGCGCACTCAAACTGCTCAACAGGCACGCGCGTGGAATCAGGGCGCACACGCGCGACCTTACAGTGGAGGCCAGTCCACAAGAAGCCTTCCACAAGAAACCCAACCCTGAGACCCCAGGACGTCCATTCATTTTTGGTGTGGGAACGTCGCGCTTTCAACAGCGAAACCATCGAAACCCAAGAAACCCAGGGCACCCTGGAGGCCAGCAGGATGTTTCTTGGCATGGGTCTGCACTGTAATTGGGAAGGTTGCGCGCGACTGCCCGCGCAGTGGACCCCTTTCGCTTCCGTCGCTCAAGAAAGAGAGGCACGCAGAGAAAAATGCATGGTCGGCGGGTTGAAAGTCGCCTCTGTACTAAGTGAACACCTTGGAGGATTGCGCGCGACTGCCCGCGCAATGGACCCCTTCGCTTCCGTCGCTCAAGCGAGAGGGGTACGCAGAGAGAAATGCATGGTCGGCGGGTTAAGAGTCGCCTCCGTATTGAATTGCAACGATAGGGAGTACCTGGAATCGGCGAGACATCATCGACACACCGGAGATCGGCCCCCGATAACTGATCAGCACGCTACTGGGCGTGAGTGGGCTATCGGACCCTTATCGGCGATAAATGGGCGATCGGGGGTCTATGCGTTTCCCCATGCGCCCATCCCGCCCTAAAATTACCTCTTGTGCGCGTGTTGCAAAAATGCACGCAATGGAATGCAGAGTTTTCCCACGCGCGCCAAAAGAGGTGGGCGTCCGGGCCTGCCGGTTGCCTGTACTTATGTACTTGGGCTCCATGTCCTGCGAGGGACATGTCTTCTTACTCCCCCCTTGTCCTCCTGCCTTGCCTGCCTCATCTTGTTCCTGCCCTTCCACCTCCTCCTCCTCCTCCTCCTCCTCCTCCTCCTCCTCCTCCTCCTCCTCCTCCCGCTCCCCCCCTCCCCCTCCCCCTCCACCTCCTCTTCCTCCACCTCCTCCTCCTCCTCCTCCTCCTCGTCCTCCTCCTCCTCCTCCTTCTCCCCTCCGGGCCCCTCCTCCTCCCCCCCCTCCTCTTCCTTGTCCTCCTTCCCCTCCCCCTCTCCCTCCTCCTCCTCCTCCTCCTCCTCCTCCTCCTCCTCCCTCCTGCTCCTCCTGCTCCTCCTCCTCCTCCTCCTCCTCTCTTTCTCCTCCTCCCCCTCCCCCTCCCCCTCTTCCTCCTCCTCCTCCTGCTCCTCCTCCTCCGCCTCCTCTTCTTCCTCTCCTTATTCTTCTCTTTATTATTATTCTTCGTAGTCTTCTTCTTCTTCTTCCTCCACCTCCTCCTCCTCCATTCCTTCTCCTTATAGATAACTCCTCCCTGACGCACCCCGAGGCCAGTGTTTATGGCAGGCTGGGCGTTTCGCCTGAGACTTCCTCACCATTCATGACTCTGATACATAAGAAGTGGCAGCGCTTTCACAGATGGAGGGCGGGCCGTTTTCAAAAATGTGGCTTTCGCCCTAGCGCCGCGCACATTCGCTTCCAACAGTCGCAAGAGCTTCACGGACTAAGGACACGTCGTTTTCAAAATGCGGTTCTCGCCTAAACGCGGCGCGCGCATTCGTTTCAAACATTTGCAAGGATTTCACGGATTGAGGGCGGGTCGTTTTCAACACGTGGCTCTCGCCTTAGCGCTGCGCGCATTCGTTTTCCAAATGTGCAAGAGTTTCACGGGTTGCGGGCGAGTCGTTTTCAAAATGTGGCTCTCGCCTTAGCGCCGCGCGCATTTCTTTTCAACAATTGTAAGAGTTGCACGGATTGAGGGCGGGCCGTTTTCAAGATGTGGCTCTCGCCTTAGCGCCGCGCACATTCGTTTTCAACAGTTGCAAGAGCTTCACGCATTCCCATGATCAGCGTACCAGAATGGGCGCTTTGGAAAGATTCAGGATTATGCGGGTGCAACAGCCATGTTGGTTCGTGGTGCTGGAGTTCCAGTACTGGCGCTCTGGCACGGTTCTTGATCGTCAAGACGCAGCAGTCAGGCTGATGCGTGGCGTCGAAATCCCGAGAACAATGTTTTGGCATGCTTCAGGGTCTTCAAACGGTTGTCTTCCAACGAGGCAGTGGGAATGAACCGTTGTGGGGGCCTACGAAGAGGGAGCTTGGAGGCAGGGTTACTGCCAACATCGCTGGTGACTCTTGGTTCTTCACTGGTCCTCCTCCTCCTCCACCTCCTCCTCCTCCGCCTCCTCCTCCTCCTCCTCCCCCTCCCCCTCCCCCTCCCCCCCCCGTCCCCCTCCCCCTCCTCCCCCCTCCAACTCCCGCCTCGTTCACTCCTGCCCTCTCTCCAGACCGACGGCGCAGCACTCCAGTCACGACTTGCCCGCGTGGGCGGTGCTTCTGATCCTGCAGGCCGGCGCGCGCACGGCCTGCCGACCGCATCTGAGTTTGCACATCTGGTGCGCGTGCGCGGGAGAGAGGGAGAGAGAGAGAGAGAGAGAGATTGTCCAAGATAGAGAGAGGGAGAGGGAGAGAGAGAGAGAGAGATAGAGAGAGAATCGCCCAAGACTCAAGTCGGGCACAGCCCTCCACAGGAGGAAAAGTCGAGAATAGCTACAAACAAATTTGATGACGATGGTTCGATTATCCTTGACCATTTTGGGGTATCGTTTGACTATTCCTCTCTTTCCCCAAAATCCGCCTGTAGGGGGACACGCCCGACTTAACCCAATACGGCCCCAAGATGGTCCCACGATGTCATCGAAATAATCCAGGATGGCCCAGCAGGGCGCCGAGATGGGCCCCAGAGGCCTCGCGTGGCCCCAGGATTGCCCAGGACGGCCCGAAAACTCGAAGGTGAACCGAACAGGCCCCAAGACGTTCCCAGAGAGGCCCACCGATGGCCTACAAAACTGCTCCAACACAGCCGCAGGATGGCTGGGCTTGGCGAGTCGGAGGCGGAGGGCGCAATGCTTCGGATACATCAAGATCCCTCGCCGACTGGAAGCCCCTCGCGGACATCCTGCGACGATCAGATCGCAAAGATGCGTGAAGAATCCACAAGGTAGCCGCCAGAAGGGTCCCATGGGCACCAATGGCAACGATACAGACAGTCTGTCCAAGCAGGTTGCGAATAGTGATGGATGTTGGTGATGGTGGTGATGATAGTCAGTTGCACTCAAGGCTACGTGCAGAGTCCCCACAAAAAGCCGCAAACTCTGTGATGGAAAGGATCCGAGAGAAAAGGTTCCTGGGCCTGGAACTTCCCTTGGGATCGGCCGTTCGTCCCGAGCAATATGTAGAACCCCCGAGGGCTGGGGAGAAACTCCGAAAACCGTATCAAAATTCGAGGCCCCTCTTCTGATGGGCCATTTCTCCACCACCACCACCACCACCACATAGGTAGGACGGAGGAGAAGGGAGGAGAAGGGAGGTCCTCTTCCTCCTCCTCCTCCCCCTCCTCCTCCTCCTCCTCCTCCTCCTCCTCCCAGTCCTACCTGTGGTAGCGGTGGTGGAAAATTGGCCCACCATCTTCCCTCAGGACCCTCCGGGCCAGCCCTTCAAGCCGCGCCCGGCCGTGGCCGGAGAGAACCTCGCGCAGAGCGCCCTCCCCCCCCCCAAGAGACTCGCGGCAGAGAACGCCGCTGCCTCCTCAAGGAGTGCTTCTCGTGAGTCTTCTCACCAACGCACGTTTAACACATACCTCCTCCCATTCCCATTCCCCTCCTCTGCCTCTTCTCTGCCTCCTCCCATTCCCCTCCTCTGCCCCTGGGAGGTGGGTGGGACAGCGAGTGTGACTACCAGGCCATCCCGAGCTAACCCGAAAACCCAAACATCGGGTTTGGGGGGGGTACGGGTGCCACACGTGTTTTTATTCCAATGCTCCCAGACCACCCTCCCCACTGGAAATGGGAGGCACATCGGGGCTCTCGGGGTTGGGTTGGCTTGGTGGGCGGTGAGAGTAGGGGTGGAGTCGGGTGCTGTTAGAAGTGCCCCTGGCTAAAGGTGACCCCAGGATTTCCGCGGAGGACCCCACGGCCTCCAGAGCAGAGAGCCCCAGGGGCTCCAACATGGAGCGACAAGCTGGAGGCACCTTGGGCCAAGGGCACCTTCAGCAACCACCGGTGGGGTGGCTCAGAGGGGGAGGGGGACAAGGGAACATCGACCTGCATCGGCCATCAACCTCCGAGAGATCGGCGGTGGGCCTCGCACCCGCACGCTCCTGGGCGGGGCGGGGCACTGGGCCCCCCCTCGGCCATCAGCGGGCGACTGAAGGTCGATGCAACTTAGGGGAACGAAGCATGGCATACACAAACAAAATTCTGAGGTCCGCGCGGATTTCTCGTCTCGGCGCCGCCGCTGGGCCCCCCTCCCTGGCGCGCGAACCGCGCCAGGGGCGGCGGCGGTCCAGCGCGGATCCGAGACATCCGCGCGGACCTCCGAGTTTTTTTGTTTATGTCATTGTTCGTTCCCCTAGCTGAAGGGGCCCTGGGACACACAAATAGATACAAATGACAGGATTCCCTATATTTTCATATATTTTCTGGGTTTTTGTCTTCCCGCAAGCTCCCATATTTTGCCATATTTTCCTGGCAGTCGACGATTAAGTGTGTCTCTGTGTTTCCTTCCCTCCTGACTCGCATCCCCCCCTGGACCGGATCGACCGAGACCGCTCTGCTTCCTGGAACTCTCCCGTGGTGCGCTCTGGCCGGAGCTTCGGGGCGAATCCGGTCGTGGCGACGAGCGCACTCCAGGACGGGCAGCGGTCTGGGCGAAGCCGAAGCAGGACGACAGAACGTTGGTCAAGACGATGAGCCCCTTCGATGAGAGCCAAAGGCCCCATGGAGGTAGCCAACATGAGGAGCATTCCAAGGTGGCGAGCCAAACGGCGAAAAGAATAAGGGTACCCCTCCAGAGCTAGTGGTTCTTCACCATCGTGCCAGCCCTACCGCTTCTGGCGTGAAGGCTCCATATCGAGCCGCATCGACGATGCCTCGGCGATGCGCCGCGGTCCTCCGAACCCATCTGGGAAGTCTAGATATAGATCTGAGGAGGGGGTGCCAGTAGAGGGGGTGCTGGTTGTTCTCTGACGGCCCCAGGGCCCGTGGTAGGAACATGGAAAACCGACACCAACACCACCAGGGACCACCAGCGGGAGGAGGAGCCAGGGAGGGGTCCCCCTGGTGGTGTGGTCCCCCCTCTCGCTCGAGACATCCCCTATCCCCAGCTCGGAGAGGCATCCTGGGCCTCCTCGCTGGAGGTGGCCCCCTGGTGGTGGTGGCGTCGCTTCCCCTCCCCCCCACGCAGAGGGCCCCAGAAGCCCGAGAGCGGCGCAACGCCTCCGGACCCGCTTCCCTCAGAGTGCCCGTGCCTTTCGCGGCGATGCGGTACCTCCCGTGAGCGTTGTTCGACTCGGCGTCTACACGTTGGGCGGAAGGGGGGGGAGGGGGGGGCGGGGTCTGGCTCCGGACCTCTGCTGCTGGTGCGACTGCCTGCAGCACCTGGGTCCTCTGCGGGGAGACTCCACCTGCTCGAGACAGGCGCCCCAAACAGCCAAGATCTACCCCATTGGGGGGGGGGCGGAGGGGAGGCTTGGAGACCCGCGCCGATCGGCAAAACGAGGAGCAAACAGGCGATCTCCTCCCTCCCCGGAGCTGGGAGGGCCAGTCCGCTGCTCCGCTCTCGTCCCCGGGTCCTGGACCCAGGGGCCCTCTCCTGTGCATCGGGCCCCATACAGAGCCGCATCGGGCGCGATCCTCGGACCCCATCGACTCTGGCCCCACATGTTTTAGCCGAGAACGTCTGCTTCCACAGGCCAAGGCGGCGACCTGGGCTGAGGGTGGCATCCCCCTCGGATGAGGAACGCACAACCGCTCGGTGCTCCAGCTATCTGCATTGGGGCATGCTGGAAGCCACCAGAAGACGCATCACCATGTGGGACCAAACTGCGGTGGCCAACCGCACGGGGCTTTCCTGGAGAGGCGGGCCAAAGATAAGGGGGGGAGGGAAAGGAGCCACAACCAGATCCGGACTGCCTCGCCACAAGCAAAGCCTACAGTGAAAGCCAGTCCACCAGAAACCTTCCACAAAAAACCTAACCCTGAGACCCCAGGTCGCTCATGGACTTTTGGCGTGGGAACGTCACGCTCTCCATGGCGAGAAATCGAAACCCCAGAAACCCAGGGCAACCTGGAGGCGAGCAGGGTGTGGGCCCCCACTGTAGATCTAGAGGCATCCTAGATGGGGTCGGAGTAGATGGGGTCGGCGGATCGCGACGCATCGCCGGTACATCGGCGATGCATCGGCGATGTATCGGCGAGGCACCAGCGATGCATCGTCGACATCGGCGATGCATCGGCGACGTCGGCGTGGGCAAAATCGGGCTCCACATCGAGCCGCATCGGCGATGCGGCGCGATACACTGACCCCAACTACTCCGACCTCATCTGGGAGGCCTAGATTATTGGCATGGCCCCCCTCTGTAGATCTGAGGAGGAGGAGGAGGAGAAAGAGGAGGAGAAAGGGGAGGAGCAGCAGAAGCAGCAGTAGCATCAGCAGCAGGCAGAGGATATGGAGGAGGAATGGGAGAAGAAGGAATGGGAGGAGGAGGAGGGGGAGGAGGAGAAGGAGAAGGAGGAGGAGGGAAGAGGCAGGAGAAGGAGGAGGAGGAGGAGGAGGAGGATGAGGAGGGAGGGCTGGTCCGCTGACTCGTTCTCCTTCTTCTCGGCGTAGGGGGTGAACGTCTCGGTCCGCACGGGCGGGCCGGGCAGGGGCGGCGGCATGGCGCCGTTGGCCGCGGCGGCCGCCGCGCTGGCGGTGCTCGCGTGGGAGCCTGGCGGGGCGCACGGCCGCCCAGGCCCTCACCGTCGCCGCCGCCGCCGCCGTCGCCGTCCTGGTGGTGGTCGACGTTCGCGGTTCGCGGCTCGCGGCTCGCGGTTCGCGGTTCGCGGCTCGCGGTTCGCGGTTCGTGGTCGTGGTCGTGGTCGTGGTCGTGGTCATGGTCGTGGTCGTCGTCGTCGTCGTGGTCGTCGTGGTCGTCGTCGTCGTCGTCGTCTTGGCCCCCGTCATCCACGGTCTCTCCACGCTCCCTTCCTCCCCTCGTCCTCGCCCCCATACCCAAATCTTCGACATGTTCTTCCACTCTGGTCGTTTTTCCGCGAAGTCAGCCTCTGTGGCCCTTTGTCCAGCCCCAGGACCATCAAAAATGGACCAGAACGTAAAACTGGCCCCCGGGAGAAGGTCCATACACCAAAGTATGGTCCCCCCCCTCCATTGAGGAGGCAACGACAGAGGGGCACCAGCATCGACCTGGAACCAGCGATCGCCCATATCTCGGCGACAGGCTCCCGATGGCGAGTCCGCACGGTCCATGGCAAGCTGGGGCGTTGTCCGGCCCCTGTCGGCGATCCGGCCCCCCACGTTTCCCCTGACATTGCGCTCCCTGGCTTTCGGGCCACAACTCTGGGAACTCTCGGGGGCGCACAAACATGGATCGGGGGAGGTGCCCTCACCAACATGCGGCTGGTGCCGCCACGGGAAAGGGGCCCGTCGCTAATCCACACCCCCATTGATCCACGTTTGCGATCGCCTGAGACTCTGGCCCGGCGGCAATTCTGGACGATGCCGGCACCCCTGGGATGCCCCCGACGAGGCGCACCCGGTGGAATCCAGCCAGGGCTTCGGACACTTCCAAGCACTGCTGACAACATTCGGATACAACTCCCCGAGCCGTCCCCCCTCCTAAGCCTCTTCCAAACACGCGATGTCTTGATTGTTTCAATGCGGGGCCCCCCAAGGTCCCGACCATTCCCCCATGGGCCGAATTCTCGTTGCGAGTCGTTTTGTGACGGCCCTTCGCCCGGTGGCGGGGCCGAAACCAGTTGTATGCAGCAGATTTCGACCCCCCCCCCTTTCCCTATCCCTCCCTTTCGTTCGGCCCGAATCATTCGTCCTCCTCCTCCTCCTCCTCCTCCTCCTCCTCCTCCTCCTCCTCCTCCTCCTCCTCCCCCTCGTCCCTCATTGAGGGAACGGGTCCTGAGGGAAACGGGTCCTGGACCAAGGGGCCTTCCTCCCGGACCAGATAGACCTTCAACCCATGTCCGTCTCTCACGGCCAGAGGGCCCGTGGAGGGCACCGAGGGCCGTTGCGAAAACATCCACACTGTAACATCCAGACAAACAGCGGATGGAGCCCTTGACCCCATCTTCCTGCGTTACTGCTCCAGCCCAATCGATATGTGAGGGTCGGGTCCCAGGGCCCGACATTACCCGAAGACGCCCAGCTCGACGACGAGACGACGAGACGACGAGGACGACGACGAGGACGAGGACGAGGACGACGACGACAGTCGACGATCGACGGTCGACGACGACGACGACAACGACGACGGTCGACGGTCGTCGACGACCCGTCTCTCGGCATATCGAACCACAGTCGACGGTCGTCGACGCCAGGATTTGGAGGCTCGCACAAGGGGGTAGGGGTAGAAGGAGGGGGACAAGCTTCTTAGAAGGCGGCTGCCTCTTAGAAGGCGCCAGCCGCCCTTCCAAGAAGCCAGGGGCGCCCCGCTTCTTGGAAACACCCAAGCAGCTTCTTAGAGGCACGGAGCTGTTTCTCAGACGCAAGAGCAACTTCCAAGAAACCAACCGCCTGCTCCTTAGAAGCACGCCAGGAACAGCCTCTGAGAAGCAACCGCGAGCTTCTTGGAAGGGCGCCCGAACCAACTAAGAAGGGGGGATGCGTCCAGGAAGCCGTCCCCCCTCCCGCCATCCCCCCTCTGCGCGTGGCTGCAGGATCTCAGGGCACATCGCCTCACCGTCGAGCGGGGGCCTTGAGCAGGGACCGACCGTCCAGGCATTCCTGTCAGCCTTCCACGGCATGCTCTCAGAACCCAAAATGATAAGCGATCAGAGCAAAAACAATAACCCGATGTACTAAACCAAAACCATCTCGACAAACAATTGTTCTAAAAACATGTCGCGCAGGCCACAAAAAGGATAGTATAACATTCCTTGGTGGGCCTATAGGCAAGACAGGACGCTTCGCCACTGCTCGAGCATCGACTCGCCGTCGAGCGGGGAGCGGCCGAACGCCGCCCCCTGGCGCGCCTGCGAAATCCATGCCTGCCGCGGGGCTGCGCAGAGGCGCTCCCCCCGGGTGCGGCAAGGGCCCGCCTCCCCGGGCGCGCGGGCGGCCGGGGGCGGCGGGCGAGGCTGGTCGTCGTCGTCGTCGTCGTCGTCGTCGTCGTCGTCGTCGTCCTCGTCGTCGTCCTTGTCGTCGTCGTCGCCATGGACGAATGACTTCCAAGAAGGGACGCTGGCGGAAGGGACGCCTGAGACCGCGGCGCTGCATCGGAGACGTCGACAAGCGAGTGAACGCGTCCCGCGACGACCTTGCGGACGAAGGCGAGCGGACTTGAGGAATCGGCCCCGCCCGTCTCAAGAGCCCCCTTCCTTTGGATCCCTTCGGGACGGGAAGCGGGCTCTTCGGAGGGGAGGCGCCCACGCCCCCTCGCACCGTGACAAACACCACGACGGGAGGCTTTTCGCTACTCTCGGCCTCGAGGAGCCCCCCGCGGGCCCCAGGACCGTGAGAAGAAGACTCGAAGGATGAAAAACTGGTCCTGAGGAAAGGGTACAGGCCTCTGGGGGTCGATGTTACGACAAATCATGACGTCGGGGGTCTGGGACGGTTGAGAGTGAAGGGGAGGCCCAGTGGGGTAAGGGAGGGGACGGGTGGCGAAGGAGGGAAGATGGGATGGAAGAGGGGGGGACGAGGGCGAGGGTGAGAGGGGACGGGGAGGCAGCATGGACCAGGGTTAGGTCGGGCGTGTCCCACTACAGGGGGATTCTGGACGAAATGAAAAATAGTCAGAACATATTTGAAACATGTTCAAACAAACAAACAATAGTCCCCATACATTTTTCCAAATTTTTGAATATTCCCCCTGTAGAGGGGCACGCCCGACTTCAGACCAAGGAGGAGGAGGGGATGGAGGTGGGCTCACGAATGGGTCCAGACTCAGGGGGACGACGTTATGACAAAATCATGACGTCGGAGGTCTGGGCCCTTCCGGTTATTTCCTTGCTTTTGGGGGCCTTCTGCGGAGGGAAAAGTACCAACAGGAGGGAGAGAGGTAAAAAGGTACCCCGACCCAGAGGAGGGAAGAACATATCTCGACCCAGAGGAGGGAAAAGGGTACCCATACCGATACCCTTCCCTGGTCTCCACTGTTTGGGCTCCCTGGGAGGCCGTCCTCGCCACCGCTGGCGCCGCCTCGGAGTCCTGCCCAGAACGCGCCCTGGAGCGGCTGCACCGGTAGCTTTCTCTTTCCCCGAATCCTGAGGGCAACGGGTCCCGGGGCTCTTCGCCGGCTTCGGGCCCCTGGGGTCCTCCGCGGGCCCTGGGAGCGTCAGAGCACGACTCCGGAGGACAACCTCGTCCTGGGGGAAGGCTCCAGGGTCAATGAGTAGCGTTTAACCGATCCCCATCCCCAGCGGCGTGGCCCCCCGGATGGGGAGAGAGGCCGTTCCCTTCGGGTTTCGAGGGGCGTATCCCCAACTGGGGTGGTAATGTGGTGGGGGTCTCGAAGGGGATGGGGATGGGGATAGGGGTCGGTGAAACGAGACCGGGTCCAGGACCCGGTTCCCCCAGGGACCCTGGTCGGGGGCAGGGTCGGTCGCTGGCCATCGCTCGGACGTCCATTCCCTGTGTTTTCTTCGGTTTCGTACGTGGCTTTTTCGCCAAATGATCAAGGATGCTCCTCGATGGTCCTCGCCGGAAGACAAATGCACACGTCCGAGCGATGCCACGGGTCGGCATCGGATCGGGAAATCGGCTGGACTCGGACTGCGCGTCGGATCGGGCCGCGCCGGCACGGGGGCCGAAGTCGAGCCCGATCGGCTGCGCCGGGGTGCACCGTGGCGCCCCGTGGGCATCGGGCCGCATCAGATCGCGGGGAGAGCGACCTCGAATCCGGTTCGAACTGGCCGACGTCGACATCGAACGGGTAAAAATTGGCCCCGGGGGGAGGGGGGAAGGGGGTGGGGGAAGTGCATGGTCCCGGATCTGCCCTCCTTCCGCCTCGCGCATCCCCCCGTCGTCCCATTACAGCAATCGTGCTGCCATAAGGAGCCCTGAGTGCGCAGCGAAGGTGCTTTTCTGGCCGCGGCGAGCCTCGTCCGCGAATGGGCTCTTTACCCAAGACTGAGAAACATCCCAGAACAAAAAAAAACATAGCCTCTTCCTGAGCCCGAAGCGGTTAGTATTTAGCATCTTGACTGCACCTACTCCACCCCCCTCAACGTCCCCACTCCCCCCTCCTCCCTCCTTCTCCTCGTCTCCCTCCACATCCTTCTCCTCCTCGTCGTCCTCCTCCCTGTCCTCCTCCTCCTCCTCCTCCTCCTCCTCCTCCTCCTCCTCCTCCTCCCGCACGAGGCACGATGCAGGCCTGGGCAGGTTTGGCGTTTTTCATAGGAAGGCCCTGTTAAGGATCCCTGAGTAAGGTTTCCGCAAACGGACTCCTTCCTGCGGGCACATTACTATCGACCCTCGAGTAAGGAAACCATACTCGGGTTTCCTCACGAATGAACCCTTGCGTGATATTCCTTACGAAGGGCCCATGTAACCAGAATTGCTTACTACTAAGGATTCATAATTGCTTCCTGAACGCGGATCTGCGATCAAGAACTCTTCAGCAAGGATTCCATAGTAAGGAAGCCTTCCTAAGAGATGAATGTCGATTTCTCATTAAGGATTCCTTTACCAAGAATCCTTACGAATG